AACTGTTAGAGATAAGATACGAAAGAATCAGCTGGGAGCATGGTTAGTAGAAAGAACAAGTAACCATGATCTGAAGACTCATGACTGATTGATCCTTAGCTCCATCCCTCACTAGCTATTCATTCTGGTGAAGTCACTTCACTCCTCTAACTCTCATTTTCCCTAGCTGCTAAAATTGGGAGGATAAAACACTTTTACCTACTTCAGGGTTACTATAAGGATTAAGTCAGATAAGAATGTGCTTTATAAGCTATAAAACACTAGTTTAGCGCTTATAGAAATATTAGTTACCTCAAGCTAACAAGTATCCAAATATCCACAAATTGGATACTTCTTAGGTGCTCTGTGCAGCACTTAACAGAGAAAGTAGCATAATACAACCCCAGTCCTCAATGAGTACTCTAACAGAGAACACAGATGAGTGAACATACAGGCAGCTCTTCAAGGCAGTATGAAATAGGGATGGAGTTGCAGTTGATTTAGTCTGAGAAACAGAGGTCAGAATCTCAGGAAGGTGATACTGGAGCTGGGCCTAGAAGGTGAAGTGGGTGATGGCCAGGCAGAGGAGGCTGGGACATGCATTCCAGGGAGAGAAATTAAATAAGCAAGGAGGTGTGAAAGTACACAGTATTTAGGGAGCAGTGAGTTGTCCTGTGGCTATGGCACAAGCTATAAAAAACAGAGTGCTTGGAAATGAAGCTGGACAGGTGGGCAACAGAGCAAGACTCTGCCTCAAAAAAGAAAAAAGGAAATCGCAATTTCTTTTCTCCTTATTTCTCTCCCTTCTTTGTCCTGACACTATAAACGATACAATATTTGCCTTCGAGTGACAATATAGCTGAAAGATATAGCATGTATATAAACACTTCCGATGCTGTAACAAAAGCACATAAGGAGTACAGTCACAGGCACTAAGAAAGGGTAGTCAGTTCCACATCAGAGAGTCAGGAAAATATTTATTGAAGAGGGGTTAAGTTGGTGTTATCCAGGCAGAACAAACTTGGGGAAGGTATTCAAGTACAGGAAGCAGAATGAACAAAGATACAGAGCCATATAATAGCACGGTACATAGTTCAGCAAGAGTTCAAGGTATAGGTATAAGGGAAACTTGGTGCTATGAGCCTGGAAAGGTAGGCAGCAACCAGAGCCAGTTCTGCATAGGTTCAGAGCACAGTCTCTAGACTTTAGGTTGCCTAAATTCTAAAATTTCAGTTCTGCCCTTTTCCAGCAGCAAGACCTTGGACAAATTACTTACTCTCTCTAAGGAGTACAATTTTGGGGATATTAACAGAACCCACATCATAAGATCATTGAAGGATTAAATGAAATAATCCATGTAAAGGACTTAGTATAGAATATCCGATTTAGGGCTAGTCACAGTGGCTCATTGCATTCCAGCCTGAAAGACAGAGCAAGACTTCATCTCAAAACAAAACAAAACAAAACAAAAGTCCCATTTAGACTAGGTATGGTGGCTCATGCCTGTAATTCCAAGACACTGGGTAACCAAGGCAGGAGGATTGCTTGAGGTCAGGAGTACAAGACAAGCCTTGGCAACACAGCAAGACCCCATCTCTATGAAAACACACAAAAAGTAGCCAGGCATGGTGGCACATGCCTATAAACCTAGCTACTTGGAAGGCTGAGGTAGGAGGATAATTTGAGCCCAGGAGTTGGAGGCTGTAGTGAGCTATAATTGTACCACTGCACTCTAGCCTGGCAACACAGCAAACCCTGTCAGACACCCCACACACCCACACCCACACGGGGGGTGGGGGGGGCGCGGAGAGAGAATATGTCTGATTGACAAGAAGTCAAGATACTATTACTACCATTGTTATTATAGAAAACTTTGTTAGGAAACTATTATAGTGGTCAAGGCAACAGACACCGAGGCCCTGAACAAAAGCAGCAATATAGAGAGGGAGAAAAGAACAGAGATGCATGCAGTCTTTCTGAGCTGCAAGTGATTGGCTGGACTTGGTAACAAGGGAGAGATTCTGGGTAGTACTGAATCAATATGATTCTAGGTTCCTAACTTGGGCAACTAGCTATGTGAGTGAAAATATTTACAGTTTAGGGTATGTTCAATAAAAGCTATGCCTGGGTAACATACAGATGAACATGTAAAATACACCATGACACTCACCTTTGGCTCTGGTAAGAATGCAAGAAAAGGCTCTATTACTGCCTTCTTATCCAGATCTAGTAGTGTGAAAATCACAATCACCTGCAGTACCCACTAAACAAATGGCCCTCAGAAGCCATATTTGATTTGTGTAACCACCTCCTTACCCACAGTTTACTATAGATGGACAATTGGCCCATGGAGGAAAAGAGGACTTCAGCCAACCAGACTTGCTGTGTTTGTGCATTCAGAATCCTATGGCCTCGGAGCATCACTGTTTGAGGGACAGCCGCCATGGCTCACTCATAGCAACAAAAGAAAAGCAGAGAAATGAATATAGTAGGCACATAGAAGCAAAATGAAGGAGTACAAGGCCCCATAAACGAGAAAGACCTGGGCAGCACAGTGAGAATCCATCTCTACAAAAAAATTTAAAAATTAGCAGGGTATGATAGTGCATGCCTGCAGCCGGGTACAGTGGTTCACACCTGTAATCCCAGCACTTTGGGAGGCCAAAGTAGACAGGTCACTTGAGGTCAGGAGTTCGAGACCACCCTGACCAACATAAGAAAACCCCATCTCTACTAACAATACAAAAACCAGCCGGGTATGGTGGCACATGTCTGTAACCCCAGCTACTCGGGAGGCTGAGGCACAAGACTTGCTTGAACCCGGGAGGCAGAGGCTGCAGTGAGCTGAGATCGCACCATTGCATTCCAGCCTGGGCAACAAGAGCGAAACTCCATCTCAAAAAAAAAGAGATTATGCATGCCTGTAATTCCAGCTACTAAGGAGGATGAGGTGGGAGAATCACTTGAGTCCAGGAGATCAGGGCTGCAGTAGGCTGTGATCTTTCAACTGTACTCTAGCCTGGGCAACAGGATTAGACACTGTCTCAAAAAGAAGAAAGAAGAAAGAAAGGAAGAAAAGAAAGAAAGAAGGAAGGAAGGAAGGGAAAATAAAAGAAAAGGAAAAGGAAGAAAGAAGAAGAGGAAGAAAAGAAAGAAGAAGAAGAAAGAAGAAGAAGAGGAGGAGGAGGAGGAGGAAGAGGAGGAAGAAGAAGAAAGAAGAAGAAGAGGAGGAGGAAGAGGAGGAGGAAGGAGGAAGAGGAGGAAGAAAGAAGAAGGAGGAAGAGGAAGAAAAGGAACAAGAAGGAAGAAGAAGAAAGAGGAAAAAGGAAGAAGGAGGAAGAAGAAGGAGGAAGAAGGAAGAAGAAGAAAGAAGGGAAAAGAAAGAAGGAAGAAGGAAGAAGGATGGAGGAGGAGAGTGAGTTGTTTTCTCATAACTGTTTAGTTTTCATAAAGCCCAGCTGTATCTAGACATCAGCTTCTGTGAGGTCATCCCATATCCACTTCTACTTGTGTTTCTTTGTATCCCATGCAACCAAACAATCCTGGTGGCTTCAATGGATGAGACTACCCAAGAAGAATACAGAACACAAAACCAAAAAATGGCCAAGGTTAGGACCCTGGGGAACACACCAACATGGAAGAGTCAGACAGAGGAAGAAAAGCCAGTGAAACAGGCAGAAAAAAATGCATTCACAGAGGAAAGAGGTCATTCAGGTAAAAGCCATGGTCTAGAAGTCAATGTAAGAGAGGGTTTTAAGAGATAGACAACAGTGTCAAATGCTATAGAGAAATCAAATAAGAGGAATATGAAATAGGCTACTGGACAGGCCAATTAAAGGATCATTGGTGACCTTTCGCAGAGAAGCACTGATTATTACTATAATTCAAAAACTTTGTTTTCAGATCCTAACTGCCACAGCAGTCACACTGTTTATCTTTAGGTGAGTCTTAACATGCCTCTTTTATTTAAAATAAAAATAATAACAAATCTTCAGCCCTTGTTGTATCTTACACTACCTGGTGGTAAAATTCATGTAAAATTCATCAGATTGAACATTTAAGAGTCATGCACTTTGGCCCGGCGCGGTGGCTCATGCCTATAATCCCAGCACTTTGAGACGCCAAGGCAGGTGAATCACAAGGTCAGGAGTTCAAGACCAGCCTGGCCAAGATGGTAAAACTCTGTTTCTACTAAAAATATAAAAATTAGCCTGTACTGGTGGCACATGCCAGTAATCCCAGCTACTCGGGAGGCTGAGGCAAAAGAATCACTTGAACCTAGGAGGCGGAGGTAGCAGTGAGCTGAGACCATGCCACTGCACTCCAGCCTGAGTGACAGAGTGAGACTCCATCTAAAAAAAAAAAAAAATTCATGCACTTTAGAGATAAGATCCCCCTCTCCTATCCTTCCATAGTATTCAGATTTAAAAATACAAATATGCTGGGCACAGTGGCTCACGCCTATAATCCTAACACTTTGGGAGGCTGAGCTGGGAAGATCACTTTAGCCCAGGAGTTTGATACCAGACTGGGCAACAGAGTGAGACTTTGTCTCTATTTAAAAATAAATTAATAAATGAGGAAAAAAAAACAGGCTTATAAAGTAATGTATAAAGCTAGGGGTAAACTGTTCTTTGAATTTTTAAAAATCATCCATGGTATCTTCAACCTCTGCCTCCTGATGTAATGGTATGTAATACTGTCTTCACCAAGAAGCAGATCAATACCAGTTTCCATACCATTATGATATATTAGTTTTCAAAAAGCTAGGCATGGTGACTCACGCCTGTAATCCCAGCACTTTGGAGGCTGAGGCAGGAGGATTGCTTGAACTCAGGTGTTTGAGAACAGCCTGGGCAACATCTTCTCTATTAAAAAAGATAAGAAGAGAAAAGAAAAGTCACATGTGTATCTTCATAGACTTGAGCACACAACAAACAATCTAAACCATCTGAAAGAAGGCATGGCAGGTCTAGATGAGAGCAGTGAGATCTGGGGCAGCGTATATGAAGGGGTCCTACCTTCATCAAGTGCTTGTTCACCCACTTGGTGAATGTTTTCTTCTGAACCCGGTCCCGTTCATCTGTAAAAGAAACATAGAGAAGGCACTGGCTGAGTGCTACCCAGGCAACGGGTTCCCACACCACTGCCCTGCCCATACCTCTATTTCTCTAGGAAAACTTCCCCACGTAACTGTGGGACAGTGACTTCTTAGGAAGGTTTAGCCTATCTGAACTTCCTCTTTGGTCGTGATCACATTGTCACTTTACAAATCAGACAGAATCATCATGTGCCTCAAATATCATATCATGACAAAATCTCCTTAGCATAATAATTTGAGCAGAGCAGGGAACAGAGTGATTCCCCACTTCCCTCACAAGCTTCAAAAACCCAAAGCCGTGATACCACCAACAGACAGGTGGCCTTGGCATTTGGGACACAAATATTACAGTAGTTAAAATGTCACTCTTCATGTGCAGATATGCCTGAGTAATGCCAAACTCCCTCCCTCTCCTACCCCAGTACTTCCTGCATTCCAATTTCTTTACCAGCCATGAACAAAACAACCAAACTCTCAAAGTTGCCCAGTTTACCCCCACTGCACGTCTCTTCTCTCTCCCTTCTCCTAACTCTCAGAGAAGCAACTTCCTTTCTTTCTCAAGTTGTTTTTTTTTTTTTTTTTAACCTATTTAACAGAAACATGACTTTCAATACTTGACAATGACTGCTCCACAGAGGCCTTATCCTGTAGAGGACTTATTTTCTCCTACTCCTACCAAATTCCCAGGGCCACTTCTAGACAACTGAGCCATCAGCCCTGCTCCTTTTCTGTTTTTGGAAGCCCACACCATCCCGTGTAACATCTTTTTCAAATCATCCTGTCATTGACGATGCCCTGCTGCCCTTCCACATGGCAAATCTACCCTAACCTTCCCTGACGACTTGGTTCATTTATCTCTACATATATGTGAACATATATGTGACAATGCATCTGTGCCTACTTGGCTCAACTGACATTCATCTCCAATTAATGTCCAGCCACCACACTGCCACATTTTGGGCCTGATTCCTTCCCCAAACATACCTTTATCCACCTCTTTTATCTATCTAGCACTTACCATCATCCATCTCACATGGCCTCTCCTAATCATTCTCAACCTTCAGTTACTTCATTCTTATTTTACCCTATTCATTAAGAACATATACAGCCAGGCATGGTGGCTCCTGTAATCCCAGCAGTTTGGGAGGCTGAGGCTGAAAGATCACTTGAGCTGAGTTCGAGACCAGCCTGACCAACATGGTGAAACCCCACCTCTCCTAAAAATACAAAAATTGGCTGGGTATGGTGGTGTGCACCTGTAATCCCAGCAACTCAGGAGGGTGGGAAGATCGCTTGAACCTGGGAAAGAGAGGTTGCAGTGAGCCGTGATCACACCACTGCACTCCAGCCTGGGTCACAGAGTGAGACGCAGTCTCATAAAAAGAAAAAGAACTCTAAAATTATCCCAGTCCATGCTAGACAACATGGTTATGCAATTCAAAGCTACCCTCACTAATACCCCAGGAACTTTCACCTGCCTAACCGCCTACTACTACATTCACTGTGACAATCAAAGGTTACCACCATTGCCTGCTGCTTGACTCTTCCATATCTTTTCCAAGACAGAGAACATTTCAGAAGAAAGTTGCAGAGGTATATAAATCTTGTTCACTAGCAATTCATACAAGCTTCAGCCAGATTCTCTCTCTCCAATGCTTATTTTCTTCTTATTGACTCCTTAGGAAAAGCCAACATAGTGCCATTCCAAACAATGCCAATGCTTGTTCTACATCTCAGGTGAATATACTTATATACTTATTTATTTTTTTTTTCTGAGTTTATAGCCATTCAATAAGCACTTTCTTATCTTGGTCTCTGGTTTTATCTTCGCATCCTTATTTTCAGCCTTGAATCCTTTCTTGCTTGGCAAGGAACAATTTTCTTTCTATTATAAACTACAGAACCAAGGAACGGACCTTAGATATTACCTGTCTAATTCTCTGCTGACACACAAATCCCTTCAACAACAAAGAATCATAAGTTCATATTGAAAGGTCTGTCCAAATATGCCATAAATCTCTAATATTCTTGCTGTTTAAAATTTAGGATAACAGAGAATTCACTAACTCATAAGACAATGTACCAATGTAATAGTTCTATAAAATGTCATACTCTGCTTTTATATCTTCTACCTACTGACTCTCACTTGAGACTGTTAGAAGTATTATTAGACTTAAAAGTTTAATCCATCTTTCATTTAACAGAGTCCTGAAAGTATTTGAAGTCAGAATTCGTATTAGATTTGAACGCTGTCATTCCAACATATTTTGATCTTTTTAGATGCTGATTCACTTATCCAAAATCTTCATCATCCTTTCCAAGCCCGTGTCATCTGCAAACTGAATCAGAATCAACTTTTAACTACAGTCTCATTGAAATCATTGACACTTTGCTCATACTACTTATTTTCCCTTCATGTCAGGCTACTTCTCTTCCTCTTCATCTCTCGAAATGCTATATATTCTTTAAAATTCAGCTCATTCATTCACTCATTTATTCTTTGTTTGTTTGTTTTTGAGACAGTTTCGCTCGTCACCCAGGCTAGAGTGCAGTGGGGCAATCTTGGCTCCAGTGCAACTCTGCCTCCTGGATTCCAGTGATTCTACTGCCTCAGCCTCTGGAGTAGCTGGGATTACAGGTGCCCACCACCATGCCCAGCTAATTTTTTTTTTTTTTTTTTTTGACGGAGTCTTGCTCTGTCACCCAGGCTGGAGTGCAGTGGCGTGATCTCTGCTCACTGCAACCTCCACCACCCGTGTTTAAACGATTCTCTCACCTCAGTCTCCCAAGTAGCTGGGACTACAGGGATGCGCCACCATGCCCAGCACATTTTTGTATTTTTAGTAGAGAGATGGGGTTTCACCATGTTGGTCAGGCTGCTATCGAACTCCCGACCTAAGGTGATCTGCCTGCCTCAGGCTCCCAAAGTGCTGGGATTATAGGCGTGCACTACTGTGCCTGAACTCATTTATTCATTAAATAAATCTTTATTAAGGACCTCACTGCTAGGTCCTTTTGATTCTGGTAATAGAAATATCATAGTCCCTACCATTAAAAGACATGACAGTATGGCAAAGAAGAGAAATAACTTCAAAGGAGTTTGATAAGTGCTGTAACAGTTAAGCACAGAGTACTCATGAACGTAAGAGGTTAAGCCTACCTAGGGACAGGAAATATGGGGGAACCTAATAAAGTTTCTAAGAGGAATGACTCTATCTAACCTTAAAAGATGAGTATAAGCCTACCGGCGCAGTGGCTCACGCCTGTAATCCCAGCACTTTGGGAGGCTGAGGCAGGTGGATCACAAGATCAGGAGATGGAGACCATCCTGGCTAACACGTTGAAACCCCATCTCTAATAAAAATATAAAAAATTAGCCAGACGTAGGGGCACATGCCTGTAGTCCCAGGTACTCGGGAGGCTGACACAAGAGAATTGCTTGAACCTGGGAGGTGGAGGTTGTAGTGAGCAGAGATTGCGCCACTACACTCCAGCCTGGCAACAGAGTGAGACTCTGTCTAAAAAAAAAAAAAAAAATCGATGAGTATAAGCCAGATGGAGAAGAGAAGGGACAAAGTTGCTACATGAAGTTCATGAAGTTACAGCTAATGCAATTTCATGGAGACAAGAAAAAGCTTATGTTCAAAGAACTGCACAGAATTAGGAATGGTTGAAAGACATGCTTATTAGGTAGTGGCAGTATTTAAAACTGAATAGGATGCTATGGGCCAAATCATAACCTTTCATGACAACCTGAAGGAACCCGAACTTTATCCTATACGTAAGGGGAACCATCGAAAGATTTTAAATTGGAGAATGACATGATCATATTTGTGTTTAAGAAAAATTCTGGCTGTCTTTTCTGACAACTCCAGTTCTCAATAGTCTCTGTGTCCTCCAAATATCTGTTACTTACTGGGCTAATCTTACTCAATCAGCACTTACATAATTATATAGTGCTCTGAACTTTTAATATGCTTATTCTTGTTTGTTTGTTTGTTTTTGAGATGGAGTTTCACTCTTGTTACACAGGCTGGAGTGTGATCTCGGTTCACCGCAACCTCCGCCTCCTGGGTTCAGGCAATTCTCCTGCCTCAGCCTCCTGAGTAGCTGGGATTACAGGCATGCGCCACCATGCCCAGCTAATTTTTTGTATTTTTAGTAAAGACGGGGTTTCACCATGTTGACCAGGATGGTCTCGATCTCTCGACCTCGTGATCCACCCGCCTCGGCCTCCCAAAGTGCTGGGATTACAGGCTTGAGCCACCGCGCCCAGCCCAATAGGCTTATTCTTATATTACCAGTGAGATCATTAACTCCTTGAAGACACCATGATTTACTTTTTTGTATTTTCCACAACTCTACATATTAAGACCTAAAACATAAAACCAGACAGTTTTCTGGATTGGCCAAGTATGATTAGAAGACTGTCTAAGGAAACACACAAAACGAAATCAAAACTGAGTTACCTACAAGAATCTAGTTCAGTATATAAAAACCCCAAAACCCTGCCAGGCAAGGTGGCTCATGCCTGCAATCCTAGCACTTTGGAAGGCCGAGGCAGAACGATCACTGGAGGCCGGGAGTTTGAGACTGCAGTGAGCTATGACTGTGCCACTGCACTACAGCCGGGGCAACAGACTGAGACCCTGTCTGAAAAAACGAAACCACCACCCCATTAAGTATCACTTGTGTGCTGGGATAAGAAGACATAATGGAAAAATTGGAGCTAACTAAAGTTGTTTCCATTACATTTTCACACAATATGAGGCCCACTCTGCTTCACTATATTAATGACCTTCATAGCTCAAAACAGTCTGACTCTAATTTTACAAAATTCTCACTCTGAAGACATACGTGTTCTTTTCTTTTTATAATTTATTTTTTAATAAAAGCTATGTATGTTTGCTATAATATGTCAGACAATACACAGATGAAAAAAGAAAAAGATTAACAGATTTTCTCTTAAACTAGTATTTTAA